TCAGGAAGTATAATGGTTAACATGTTTTCCATTGTATATTCAAATATAGATAAAATATGTTCTCTTACTTAAAAGCTAGTTTATTCAAATATAAAACGTTGGATCAAAATATTTTTTCCTAAGAACTTTCTTCTTCCTGAATAGCTTTTGAAGACACAATAGTTGTAGAGTTCTTCAGCTGGATGTTAGTCTAATTCTCAGTAAATTGTAGTAAACATGGCCTTTATTTCTTCCTCCTATGTTTTTAGAGGGTTTGGTTGACACACCAAGTTCATCACCTAAAAAAATCTCTAGGAAGAAGAACTAGTAGAAATTTGTGTATAAATAAATATTGTTCAATTTTAGTCATACAGAAGTTGTAATAAAATTAAGGGGATTATAGAATATCAATGTTAGTTAATACAATATTTTATCCATTATTTGAAGGTTTTTAATATGGTTTTCATCACTGTAATTGTGATTAATTATCATCTCGGAAATTTGTTGATAATATAAACAGACACCCTAGGTTTAATCCCCTCTTTCTTCTCTTAGGAAGTCTGATCCTGCATGTTTATATCTTTAACATACTATTTTTATGTTCTTTAGAGTTTAAGAACTATTTTTCTGAATGTTTGTTCTAATGTAATCTGCCATATAAGAGTTACCTGATAAATCCATTTGATGGATGAATGAAGTAAATGAATGAATCAAAGCACCTCTTAAAGGGAAACCAAAGACCAAACCATTTTATCTTGTAGGTGAAATTCATTTCTAAAACCACAGACTTAATGAATCAACAAGGTACAGCAATCCAGAGTGCAAAAGGGCAGTGGCCTAGGTATATCAGCTTCTCTGAATCTGTATTCCTTCATCAACAAAATGGTAGTACCACTCACCAGGTTCTTATAAAGATTACTTTAGCCATTTGTGTTAATCTCTGAGTACTTAATAGGCACAAATTAACAGTGGTTCTTTCTCCAGAAAAGATTCATCTCTCTCATTTTCATACACATATGTGTATATATATATGTATATATACACATATATATAAAGTATATATATTTATGTATAAATATATTTTACATAAATATTTTACATTATTTAAGTACATATATGTATTATATATATATGTATTTTATATATATATATACTTAAACCTGCTGAGCACTATTATGTATCTTTTCAATCAAGTATAAACATCGAAGTCATACAATGAATTGGTTAGCTCATGCTAACCTGAGCTTATTATTTCAGTAGCATAAATTTTCCACACTATAGGTCTTTGGCACTAGATGAGCTGTCAAAAAGAATCAGCAAGATAATATTCTAGATGAAACTATAAATGGAACTCTTACTATACCTGTACTGATTCTGAATTTGTTGGAGATAAACAACAAGCATGCAAATAGGGTTGTGAGGAATAAAGTAAATTAGAGACACACAATAGCAAGATTTAGACCCTTGTGCCCTAAGGAAATTGGTAAAGTAAGCCCCGGAATGTGAGAAAGCAATGAGAGTCCACAAGTGTTAGAAGCAGCCAGATTCAAGTAAGTTGTCAATAAATATCAGCAGATAACAGAAAAGATGGTTTAGGTAGGTACCAATTGAAAAAAAAAGTCTGCCTGAAATTTTTATATACCTCTCCTTTTTACATTATTCACAGTCACTAATCATAATAAACCACTGAAAAAATAGGGATGAGCAGATATTTGGCAGCTTAAACAAGTACAATTTCCCAGAGTTAAACCTAAAAAATGAATAGTGCTGTATACTCTTAATTATATATAAATATGTATTATATATTAATTATGATTATATACAATTAATCTTAATTATTTACATATATGAATTATTTTATATTATTATTATTATTAGAGAGAGAGAGAGAGAGAGAGAGAGAGAGGAAGGGTCCTAAAGGTCATAATCTTGTTAGAAAAAGGAAATAAGCTTATAATGTTTAGGACAAATGAAAAAATTCATATTACTAACTTACATGAGAATGAGAAAACTTTTCCTGGAATTTTTAAAATTTTTGTTCTTTTGGAAAAGATACTATTTGGCAAACATATCCTACTAATTTTCAAATAATGTGTGATTCCAGCTTTATTGTTCCTCCATATGGGTGGTAATAGGACATAACAGAATACAGTCTGAATTGTTGGAAGACCACTCTAGACAGGGAATGCAGATGTCCACAAGCACAGCAAACCCATGGGGCACTGTTAGGCAGTGATGAGGGGCTATGTGAGGTTGTGTTGACATCTTATATATAAAACATGAAAAAATATGTGGGAGGATGGAAAAGTCGTATGCTGCTCTGTGATTTTTCTAAGCTGATGAAGTTTAAAATCTCCCAAGAAGTAACTGGGGATAGGAAGACTGGAAACTGACAATACACTAACACAAATCCAGGCTTTGTGGAGACTTAAGGGAAGACTATGGCCAATCTGTCAGGGTTTTGGAGTGAGAGGGCACTGGCCTAACCCAAAGTGCATTTCCAGATTGCTGACCACAGAGCACCTAATGCAGCCCAGACTGCTTTTCTACTATAAATTTTGTGCAATCTGCTGGGGAAGTGTTTCTATAAAATGAAGGAAGGCTCTGGACCTTCAGAAAAAAAAAAATGTAGGGACAGTTAGTGCCAGAAAAAAGGCAGAGGAGAGTGCCTGGACAAGAAGAACAGACTGTAGCAAACCCTCCTGGCAAGAAGAATAGGCTGGAGGTAAAAGCAAGTCTAAAGGGCTTACAGTAACTATTTTACTCTTGCCATTACTTTGTCCTGGTGACTAAGGAAGCAATTTAAGCTGTTACAGATGGCTTCATGCTTAGCCCGGAGATTATTTTACTCAGAAAACAGGGCTTGCCAGAAACCCTTCTGTTTGCCAGCTTGAGACTCACAAATAATGAGACTTGATACCTCTACAAGTTGGAGCTCTTGATTTCAATTCACTGAAAAGCTGCAAGTACATATTTAAAGATCACTCTTTCACCATGGATATGGAACATCTCAGTAGCATACATTCTATTAAGTGATGGTTAAATACCCTGCCAACTCTAAGTACAAATGGCCTGAAAAAAAAAAAAAAAAAGCAATATGGATGTTTAGGCTCTACTCAACATGGGTCTCAAGCTTCTTACCGAGTGGGTCAAAATGAACTTTCTTCAACAGAGGACTTGAATGGAACAATAGAAAGCCCCCAAATATCTGGAAAATCTCCTACCCATGGAAACAAACCAGCCTTTTCTAGGCTATGTGGAATAGATCAATGGAGGAATAACACTGACATAGGATTAATATCACTGCCCCAAAGAAGATCCCAAGTGGCAGAGTAGCCATTCAGAATAACTTTACTTCTACAGGAATGAGAGAAATGAACATGAATAATAGATTCAGGGTCAATTTCCTTAAATCAACAAATAAGACCTCAGTTCCGCATATATGATAGTTCATCACAGTGATTTTGGTTATCACAACTGGACTCTGGATTGTGTGCCTGGTGTAACCTATCAACCTCAAAAAATAGCATACATGAGTAGAAGATGCAAGGCATATAAGCAGAATAGGCAGCTCATCTAGAAAACATGATATACAGCAAATATCTGAAAACTGTCTCTTAGGCAGGAATAACAAAAAAATGTAACCTAAATATGCTTCAGCAGAAGGGGAAAAAAGGAGAGAGAAGGAAGGGAGGGAGGGAAGGAAGGAAGGAAGGAAGGAAGGAAGGAAGGAAGGAAGGAAGGAAGGAAGGCATCTGAAGGAAGGAGGCCATTATATCATTAAATTGAAAAAGTCCAGGGGTAATATCTTTTCCTTTTGTATTGGCTCTATTCTCTGGAAGATTTTAACAGTGAGAAAAATGGCTGCTGGTAATTCTAGAAACTAGTTTAAAGTATAACTTCTTTCTCCAGAGGTCTAACAAAGTTCCAAAATTGAAGAACACTGGCTTCTATCAGGTTTCATTGCCCTCTCTGAATCACTGTAGCTAGGGGGATGGAATACTCTGATTACCTGGGCATGGAATAAATTTGTCCATCTGAATTCAAAGAGACAGGATTAAGTTCACTTGAACCACGTAATTTAGAATGAGTAAGGAAAATCAGTAAACTGTTACTAATAAAAGAGAGATACCCAGCAAGCAAAAAAAAGAGAGAGAGAGAGAGATTTTTGACTGAACAGTACATAGGTTTCATCTCAATAAAGATGTAGAAATAATATGAATGTAACCTCTTAGCTTTTTACAGGAAGCTAATGCTCTTAATCTGTTCCTTGCACATCCACCAATGAAATGGGATTAGTCCCTGCGTTCTCCTACTCACTCATCCTTTTCCATAAAGACTGAGTCATTGTCAAAGGCAAGCAGTGTTATTTGGCCTCAGACCTAATGCGTGGAGAGTTTTTGTTGTGAAGTTAAACTCCAAGTCAGTAGTGATGGGATCTTCTCCCACACGTTTGGCAGGTGAGACAAATCTGGAGCCAGTTTCATTTAGTAACTGCCAGAGGAGCTGATATCACATTAGGATTCAGGGCAAAAGCCATATAATGATGAAAAATATGCCTTCACTTGGCCTTGCCCTCTGTTCACATATCTATCAGGCATATTGCTTTTGGGAAGTGTGGGTTGCGGGAAGGATTCAATTGGTTGACATTCTGGATCCAGGCCCAAATACAATCTCTTTTCACCCTTTAGCATGATTTACATTTGGCCCAGTGTCTGCAGAACATATATGTGGAAGGAATTTAAAATTAAAAGGAAAGTGCTCTAAAAAAGAGTGAGGCTCATACTTGAGGAAAGGCCTCAGATGTTTATATAAAATTTCAAGCACAGCTGTGCATTCTGAGTAATATCCCACATGCAGTAAGCAGGATCTGGTGTTAGTGGGGATTGGGATTTATTTCTTCTTCCAGACAGGCTCTCGTGGGAACTCTAAATGGTAAAAGTAGTGAACTTCCATATGGGCTAGGGTAGGCCATAAGTCGTTCTCTGCAGATGGAATTTTTTGGCCATGAGCCTCCTCACCTTGCTTTGAACTCTGTATTTCCTCTCTGCATGCTGAAGGTCGAATCCATGATCAACAATGAATTTGTGGTAGGACTTCACTGGGGGATTCTTGTAGCCTGTTTGAAATATCTCTGAGCCACCCACTCCATCACTGGTCAGTCCATTTGATAAACCCTTATCTCTGAATTCCTAAGACAGAGAGGAAGAAAACATTTCATTAGTATGCATGGCTCAGGCACAAAATATCTCAAGCCAACCCTGTTGCAAATTTTTCTATTAGGGATCCAGATGATACAGTCAATAATCCATCAACTTTATGGCAGGCATCATACACCAAAGATATGGGTTTAGTCACAGTGAATAAAAAATTTTATCACTTGAAATGTGGTTTTTGTTTTCCTTGAGCTCAGGCATACAAAGAGAAGCTTCTGAAGGGTCAAAAGGAAAAATAAGTAATGATTATGTTAGACTACATATAACAAAAACTCCCAAAGTACAGTAGTTTAAATACTTACATGCACTGATCTATACATTGCAAAACTCTAACAGAACATAGCCTAGGGCAGGTTTGGTGACTCCTTGTTCATCAGGCACCCAGACATCTCTCTGTTCTATTATTCTATTATTCTCTCTGTTCTATTATTATACTTGAGTTTTACCTCATTGTTTAAAAGGGTCAATGGAGTTCCAACTATGAATTCAGTATTTCAAAGAACAAAACAAAAATAGGAAGAATATAAAACTAAAAATGTCCACTGCCCAGATAAATCATTTCTCTTTAAATATTTCCTATATTTATTAGCAAGAAACATGTCTTCAATAACTAGAAAAGTATCTTTTTAGCTTGGTATATTGCCAACTTGGATACAATTATTTACAAATTAATATTCTCTGTCAAAAGAAGTTGTCACACATCCCTTCAAATTTTTAGTTTTCTGATTTCTGATAATCACTACCCTAAGCAATAACAACATTCTTAATTCACTATACCTACTAAGATCATTGGATCAATATACTGGGAAAGTTATTGGTATCTAGGAAGATTTTAAAGTATTACTCTGCTTCCCCCTTCTCATTTCAACATTCTTCTTCCTATCTCTTCCATATATACATATGTATGTGTTTATATACACACATAGGCAAAGACACATTGTCTTGATATTCTCATGGGGCATAAACAAGTAAAAGATTTAGGTAACTTGGACTGTGTATTCAAGCCAAATATGATCACCTGAATGTGCATTTTGAGAACACATCTTTAGTCTTGATCATGGTTTACCACTTACACTGCTTCTTTGGAGATCTTGCATTACTCAATATCTAAAGGTTTCCATTGTAGAAATGTTCCAGAATTACTTTCCAATACGTGACTTCCACCCAAAGATGCATAAAAATTATTGGCCAAACTTAAGTTGTACAAGTCAGAACAAAATCTAGCAATCAACTCTAGCATAAATAATGCTTCAGAAAAATCCTCATGAAGACTATTTCTAATTAAATATGATAAGAACACTCAAACTTCACTAAAAAGCCATGTGAAATCTAAGTATGAGCTTTCTCAAACACATTTATATTATCATCTGCATTCATTAGTTAAATGGAATGATAATTATTATCTATTCATAGTAAAATATTAAGTAACTTAATATTCATAAATTGCTTTTTAAAAGTACCTGCAATTAATAGGAATTATATAAATGCATGTTAAATTTGAAAGATCATAAAAATGATATTTCAGCTTTAGAATTTCACTTAACCTCTCTATGTCTCCATTGTTTTCAACCAAAACATGAAAATTAACCATGATCTTTTACATATAGTGTGAGGAATATTAAATTACTCAATTAAATAAAAAATTAAAGAATTTTCTTTTTTGATAAGATCTTTGCTATATTATTACTATTTATTTTCACAATTTGGGGTATACACTTTTAATGCTTTTTACAATATTTTTTACTTAAGTGATTAATATGTTATTGATTTGTCTAAGTTTAAGTATTATTACAGCATGAACCAAAGGTCATTTAATATCTTACACAAGAAGGCAAATGTTTTTTTTTAACACATTAATATTTAGCATCTACTAGTACCAGACACGTCATGGGTGCTTGAAGTATAATAGGGCAAGTCAGATACATTTTCTACTCTCAGGAATCTCATGGTTTAGTGAGAGGTACAGGCAAAGAATAATAATGAACTTGAACATAAAAGGTGACCCAAGATTCCCTTGGTGGGGGTAGGGGAGCCAATGTAGCTGAAGCATATGAGCAAAATTTATCATAGTAAGATTAAAAATGTAAACTGTTCTATATGTGTAGTAACAATTGTAATGCATTCCACTGTCATGTATTTAAAAAATAAAACCAATAAAAAATTTTTAAAAATAAAAATAAAAATGCACACTGATTTAATTTAAAAAATGATTGAAAATATGGGCATAGTAATACTAGACATGACTCTGACACCTTGGAAGAATCTTAAAACTTATTTTCAATGGGAAGGCATTTCATAGCTAAGTACTATAACTCAGGTTTTAAAAAAAAAAACACCTTGGTTGCTGTATACAAAGGTTTTGACTAAGAAAGAGTAAAGGCAGATAGACAGGAAGCTATTAGCTTCTGTCAAATTGAGAGATTATGATGATGCTCGGACACATTCTAGGCTGTAGAACCTTTTTTT